GAAATGAGGAGTGAAGTGGCTCATTTCTCTTGGTCACCCCTGTATGTTTTACGCGCTCAACATTTTCCTAGGAGGTTTTAGTGCAATAATGTTAAGCATTAATTATGTACGCGTCCACCTAATATATTTGAGCTTGACGTCTTGAGGCCCATTTAGTGGTATAGTATACCTCATTACAGATGGTCAGATTGATCAGTTGACCTTCTTGTCAGCACTAATTCTACTGTCATAACATACCGCGACATTCTCCTTTGGGATCCAGAATTTTTCCTCTTCGTTGACCTCGATGATTTCGCTGGTTGCCATGACCGACAACCATTCCTTGACGTATCTGAAATGGATGGTTGCTCCGTTTTTCAGCTACGGGAAGTCTTCCCAGTCTTCCTATGAAAATTGCTGACTTGAGCGATTGAAAACGTCACCGATTCTATGATAACTACTCGGCTGGCCCTTTTGATAAAATGTTTCATTCTTCAAGTCTTGGATAGTTTCATTAGCGTACATGCTTCAAGATTTTCACCTTTCTTTGCATCCACTTGCTTCAGCCACCTGTTTCGGCGTCGCTGGGTTCTCCTCGCTTCCAACGTTAGCCAATGCTTCAAAGAGATGCAGTTCACGGCCTAATGCAACTGCAGCAGATACTAGTCCATGAACACCGATCTCCTAAAAACAGCATTACTGACGGTACGGCTTTTTCTCGATAGCAAAGGGAAGACCACAAAGACCATGAGAGACTCACGGGGTTATTTTTATGGGACCAATTATTTTTTCACCGGGTTAAAGAAACGTGAGAAGGCATGACTAAGAAGGCAAGAAGTTGGCTATGCACGCTTTTGTTAACGAAGAAATAGAAATTTCACACAGCGCATCGTGGATCTGAGCCTGGAGCTGGACATTTGAAACCAGAACCCCATGAGGACGCAGTTTAGCTCAGTGTCACTGCGAGCATCCCACGACCCCTCTACTACAACTTTAATCTACCTCCATCCCCTCACTTTTCACAAGGAGATCCAATCGTCTAAAGAGTGTTTCCTTGCAAACAATAAATTCTGAAAATTCGCAAATATTCCCACTGTTCCCTAGAATAAAATAATTCTGAGCCACTCTTCACCATACCACCCACCACTAAGCGAAGCAATGGACTTCTCCTCCTATCGTGGACTGGAGAGTGGGAGGTTTCCGCTACTCGCTCGCCCTAGACCTTCCAAGTATTCCATGGTTTCTGGGAACGTCGTTCAGCTTGAACTATGAACTCGCCCGATATCGTGGGGAAAACAGTGAATATTTAGTTGGACACTTCCGACACTAACCATAGAGCACTGATATGAGTTCTCTGATTTGGGCGTTTTCACGCTCTTTACGGATGTGATCGTGCGCTTCGGACACAGTTCAGAATGAGCGATGAGGGCGTTGGGGACTTTCTCCGAGTAGGCTTACATTCGCGCTCGCTATGTAGTGGCTGACCTCTCGTGTAGTGTGCTCTTTCGCGTATTCTCGCTGTTATTCCGCAAAATAACCTCTTGTTGTGCGGTTTTACTGATAGTAAGAAGCGCACCGCGAAGACACCAAGATGATCGTTGCGGTTTTCGCAGGATTCACGATGGAGTGCAACATTGTATGAGAAATTGCAGAAAAAATCAACAGAAATATGACATAGAAAACTAAAACCAGTTTTCTGCTTGACTGAGTGATTTTGATAACTTTTTTACGCAATGTGGAAGTTGAACGCTTTGTGATTTTTGTCTTTGTAAAGAAATTTCAGCTCGAAATATCAAGCCGTGGTGAAAAGGTTGGAAGCGTAATGTCGAGTGTCCACTAAAGTTCGAGGTTTTTCGATAAATAGCCTTAAAATTTTTTCCCCTCCACTTCGAACGGTTACCGCTTAACGGTGTTTGATAAACCGATTGTAAATTACGCTTAGGGCGAAGCAATGATGGACGGATGGGATTACTGGATCGCACGGACTCTCACCCTGTTCTCGTATTTAGGAAGGGATTCCACGGACTAAGGACCAAGGGCGAAGAAGGGGAAAATGGTCTAAGTGGGGTACGAGAAGCGGAGCCTCTGAGGATAACCCTCAGCAACTATCTAAGCACCCGCCGAGGTCTATACGCGGCGAGTGATTAGATAGCAGAGAGAGTATGAGCGCTGAAGAGGGCATAGCGATCCAAGTCGCATCAATCCACAAACTCATCGGGCAACGAAGGGGTCCTCTCCCTTGGGTTCTGGGGTCGTTTTTCATGATTTTTCCTTTCCTTTTTTACCACTCCTTAACATTGATGTGAACTGAGTTGCTTTCTCTTCATAAATTCTGCCTTTAATTAATAATTTCACCTACTTTCTACCCACTGCGATCCAATGCGATTTGTTGCCTGTCTGTTGCCTTCACTTTCGGTAGAGGGGAACTAAAGGGGGGGGAAGGGGCAGCGATTCAACCACTTGACGATAACCATTGAAAAATGCCAATTGAACCACGAAAACGAGTCGCCTCAACTGAACGTGTGGCACACCGGCGGGCCACACGGTCATCGAAGTGTCACAGTAAAACGGCAAATATAGTGAAAAGAAAGGCTAGTGAACTAAAGCACCCGCTATGCAGAAAAGAGGAAGCGAGGTTAACCTCTCAGATTCCCTGTTCAACAATAAGCCGCCTCATAAGAAACACAACCTCAGCTAATTGTCCCAATGCGACCCTTCCACGCTTGAATAGCAGTCTCTTCGAAAGTGATGGATTGACGGACGATATTTAATGAATCACAGCACTTTTTTTTTTGGGGCCCTTCTATATTTCAAGCTTACGCCATTGAAAGAATGGCATCCGAATGAATTTTATCGCTCAATCGTGCAGAAACACTGGAATGTCCGCGGCCGCGAGTTCGTAATAGCGTGCAACATCACAGATCAATTCCCGTCTGAGTCACCTTTACATTCTTAACTTGCAAACGACATCGATTGAGCTGAAATACACTGGTGTGCAAAACTTAGGGACGAACGTAGCTTTCCTAACGACGTGTTACTGGCGCGTAAGATGACTCTATGGAACCTAACCCCACATACAAAGAGCTGTCACAGGGCACTAAAGAAAGCAGTAACAATGACCGTTAACACGGTCCACAAAACTAGTCAAAAGGATTATGATACTTCATCTGCCTCGTCCTTAAGTTTTGCACACCAGTGTAATTTTCGGTGAAAGGTAACGCACTAATTGAACTCACCGTCAATCGTTTTTGAAAATCTGTCTTGTCTGCCATGATTTTCGTTGATGAAGCCGAAGCGTTACGATTCTAGAATACAGAGATTCTGGAAGGCATGGCACAACCATCGTGAAGCAGAATCAACCATTACGTTGGAAAAACTTGAGCACGGCACAACCTCGCCTATTGCCGGGGGGGGGGTGACTATGACTTTTCCCCTTCAGCCTACGGTAACTCTGATACTAACCAGTGCCAGTAAGCCGGTACGGTACTAACGAGCCCTAGTACTAGCCGTCAGTGGCACTTTATCTTAGAACGTGGTTTCTACCTTCCATGTCTAAAAGTAGAATTGAGAAAGAAAAAGGAAAGAAATTAAGAAAAGGGCAAGGGCGAGGACAGACATATGTGAAATTTTTCGAATTTTGTAATCCCCTTCAAAAGAGAACATCCACGTCCCATACCTCCGCTTGCTTACTCCTCCGAAGTCTTCCAAAGACAGTAATGCCACTTTCATCTTAAACGACCCTCCTCCACCTTTATTTATTTATTTATTTATTTATTCATGCGTGCAGCTGACGCGCCTATAAAGAAACAAACAATAGAAAACACTGTGGTTAGTCAAGAGGACGGTAGCCCTATTATCTTTACGGAACTATTAAAACTACAGTATAAAAGGACTCCTATAACCCTATTCCCTTTCCTGTATTCAAAGGGATAGCACCAGCACGAGGAAAAATTAGCACTGCTGATCCGCTAACGAGGAACCAAGGAAAACCTCTCGGAACCTGGGTGACTTTGAGTGGAATGTCACAAACGCTGGGAACTCCTGGTTGGGAACTGCCAAAAAGACGGTCGGCCATGCCGTGGTAGCAGTCGAGTTTATCGGAGAGTGCATGGATGGGAGCAGCCAAGTGAACGACGAAACCAACGAACAAATATGCGCACTGGTTGCGGCGAGACGATACAATTCCTAACGGAGCCGCCCCTCTGTTCGCGAATCGATCAAGGTTACAAAGGTCGTACAGCAAGTATTATATTGTACTAATTGATCAAAGAATAGTATGGTCAGGAATGATAACTACATAGTAATAGTAATTATATCGTTCACACGGAGAGATAAGAGTCGTTAATAATGCTCGCACCATGGGTAGGATCTTCCGTTCTTGGAGAACGCAAGAAATTTGAAATATAAGGCCAAACAATAAAGATTTTGTCGCTCATGTGGTCAGGGGATGTGGCGGGGGAGGGGAGATGGGCCTGTTAGGTGCGTGTGCAAAATTTCCCTGTGTTAAAAAAAACCAATGAATTTTACTCCTTCTGAATGTCTGGAATGAAATGAAACATTTGTCATGGCTTGAAAACCTTGATGCCCTGCACCACAAATGCCTCTACCCCCCCCCCCTTTTTTTCCCCTCCTAACTACTGTCATGGGCGCCAAAATTGGGTCTGACCACTTTGTGTCGGAAAAAGATACAGGACACAGACTTGATGCTGTTGGTCAGGACAGGAAGTGGATCGAGGTTTAGGATTGAAACCTAACGGACCCAAGCTGGATGCGTGATGAGAATTCAGAGCAAGGCATTTCCAAAACTTTATAGATTGGCTGTGATTAAGTTGGCTTTTATAGACCAGCCCCAATCACAGCGATGGAAACGTGCTGCTAAAAAAGGCAATAAACTTATGAATTGATATCGGCCGTCCATATCGAGACCCGCTGCTTGCCCACTAAAAGGACAATCGACCAGGGTTAGGCCGTCATCAATCTCGTAATATGACGTTAAGGTGTCAATGGGTGGCGAGGCTTCTTTGCCCATCATATAGAATACGTTCGAAGATAATGGTCAGAAAAAAACGTCACAAACAAAAGAAGGCGGCGTGAAGCAGCATCCACGCCTTTCCGCGATGCGAAAATGAAATGCACTTAATTCGTGTTCGTATGCTCAGGCCGCGAACGCCCACGGGTGTATCGTATCGTGGTTGGCTTGTTGCTTACATAAGCTTGCTGAAATTGAAAGAAAGAGCCTCAAATTAGCAACGTTAATTTGAAAGGTGCAAAATAGGTAGGGGGGGGCAAGTAACGCAACCCGATTTATGATTGGGGCTTCGATTCTTATACCCTTGGGCTTATTATTACGGATCGGCTCAGGCTTAAGAATGGACTTAGATTGTCACGAGCAAGTAGAAGGTATCATAATCTGAGGTGACCTGACCTAAGCATAAAAACTGATACACACTCTGGTCATCCTAAGTCTTGATTCCTTCCGGACATCATTAGTACTGGCTTCGGTCCTTGGAGGCAAAAACGCCGTGTACACTGACGTGACTCCTCCTTCCCTTGATCATTCGTAGCCATACCGCATCACTGTCACTCACATCCTGAATGACCTGTAGAATACCGCGGCGCAATCCCAAAAAGCAACGTCATCCGGCACTCGAAAGCTTACCTTTACTCTTTAATTCCCAAGTGAACCTCTATCTCTCGCGATCTCGAGTGAGCTAGTCACACGAGGTCGATGAAGGAATAGGAAGGAATTTAGAGCATATTTATTCACACAAACACTGGACTGCAAGCTAGGAACACGAGTAATATTCATTCTGCACAAAGCAAGCACATGATAGTCACGGACACGACTGCACAATGTACAAGTGCGGGCTCCGCGCTACCCTCACAAGGAACAGGGCTTACAAAGCGGTGACTGCCAAACGAATCATCCTTTTCGCTGCAATGAACCAGAGCTACACTCTTCGCATTGCCGTACCTTTTTGCCCTCCGACAACATTATCTCATTCCGCCAAAACTTTTTCCAATTGGAAGCGAACTCTATTTCAAACCGGTTTCCGCTGATGGATTGGTCTGGGGATAATGGACTACTTGGTGCTACGAAAAAAAACTGTTCAGAAACTCTTCTGCAATAGAGGGTTAAGCAAATAAATATGGGAAGCAAAGCTGAATTTCCACGGGGATGAATTTAATAAATACTAGGTTTCATTGAATTTATTTAGCTCAGGAGTTCTTTTTACTTGCTCATGACCATTATTTTTGAGGATGTGGATTTATTCCAATTATGCTTCGTGTGGGCAAGTATTGGATTCCGTCGATTTCCGAAATGAATTCTTTTTTTTCTCGCACACTCTGCTTGTCATTAAATAAAGAGTCAAGCAGGATGATGGGAGAATTTTGAACGCTATCTTCTCCCTCCCTCCTCTTGCAATATCATCTGTTTCCTCTTTCACCCCACCTGTCTTCTTTCTTTCATCAGCGCAAAGATAAGGAGTTAGAAAGGATAGCAAGGAGTAAGTGACAGGGGAGGAATGGTGCCAGGAATTTGCTAACTCCAGTTGCACGAAAACACTATTCGGCCGTAACCCCTCCAACATAGACCTCGTCGAGGACTCCTTAGTGACACTTGACTTCGATTACAGGTTTCTGGAAAGTAAAAGTGCAAGTTCTAGTCAGGTCTGAGGTCGAATGTTTCTCCATTACTCGATATCCCTTCGATAACCGAATGAGAGGAGTTAAAAGAATATTTCACGATAAGAACGCAGGTCGAAGTATTGGAACTCATCTAGTGGTAAAACAGGCGGATCTTCTTCAGGTGTGGACTGACATAGCATTCTCATCGGAAGATATTGTGGGGGGGGGGTCCAGCATGGCCTTTCCTTGGGCGCTACTGGCACGCTATTGGCGCCTATTGCTCCCCCGTTGCGTCGTCTCGTGCCTGAGCCTGTAGCCGTTCAGCAGAGAGAGCGTTAGCGTTGAAGAGGGCAGCACCGATGAGAGTCGCATCAATGCGCAAATCAACGGGCAAGGAAGGGGTCCCATTTCTCGGGTTCTAGGCCATTTTCCTCGTTTCTTCTTTCGTGCATCACTGACCATCTCTAACTTAATTTCCAATGGGTTGCTTTTTATCGTGAATTCCGCCTTCGAGAGAACGGGTCTCAGTAAGAAGAAATTATTAGGATG